AAATGTTAAAAAATAAAAAAGTTATTAAAAAAGCGAAATTTGCGTCGCGTTTTTATTCCAAATTCACCCTAATCAACTCTAGTAAACAATAGTATAGTACACTTTAATCTCAGTTCTACAAGTGTACAAACATTCGTCTCTATAGAATTGAGATGCAAGATCAAAAAGATAGTGTATACAGTATTGACAAGAAAAATGAGACGTTAAAACTAGCAGTTTTAATTCGAAAATGAGTAAGCAAGCTTACACCTCTTTATCCCTCATAACGGTTCCAGTAGAGCTGCTGTGATTCGATTTTGTATGTTATATATCTAAATGACAGAGCAATGGAAAAAACTTTCTTATATTAACCAATGACTTGTAAAGTTCACTACATAAAATGCCTTGATAGATCTAGAATTTAATATTTCGTTTATTTTCTGTAACTTTTCTACAAATAGTCACTCCAGTGACTAGTAAGAAATAAAGGGTTAACAATAAACATTTTTAACTTGGTATCCGAAGAAAAAGTATAAAGAACAATAGTTGACAGCTATGAAAGAATTTGTTATCATATTCAGTAGGGTCTGATTTGTGAACATCGGCAATTTACATAATATCTAGATGTTCAGATACTCTAATATTCAAATGTTAGATATTTAGGGTGGATGAGAGTGAGTGAGAACTGAAGATCATAACATCTGAATATCTGAATATCTAACATTTGAATATCTGAACATCTAGATATTATATAAATTGCAGATGTTCACAAATCAGACCGGTCTCATCATATTTTTAAATCTACATTTTGTATACGTTTTATAAAGTCATTCACTGAAGACAATATGTAATTAAATTGTGCATCACAGACCAGATGGTAGAGTGACAGCCTAGGAAACCAAAAGGTTCAATTTCGGATCAAGATGTGTTTTTCTAAATTTTTATCTATCAGAACTCACACAGTCACGAAATTATATACCCACATTATCATTAATTATTATCCATCAATTTTCTCAACTTGATTCTCAAAAGCCTATTCACATAATCTGTTAAATGATAAGGGTCTCTTCTACATTATAATCTTCCGAATATTCCATCTACAGACTTGCTCAGATGTATGCAGGTGATTAATACTCTAGTGGGGAATCTCGTTGTTTTAGCAATTACTCCACTGTTGTTTGATTTTACTGGTTCATTTCAATCGAGATTGGTGTCAGCGGTCGTGTTTTGTGGATGTTTTGATGTAATGGTTAAAGAATCTAGTGCTCTGCGACAACTACGTCTCCAATTCCGTTGCAATACTCAAAACACACTCTAGTAACTCGAGTGTATTTTATCATTCTTTTTCTTCAGGCTGTGTGCTCACTTCTCTTGGAAACTATATCACATGAAAGGGATTGGCACTGTCTTGAATGAGTGCAATTGATGCTCTAGTGCAGATCCCGCATTTTTCCTATCATTTTCTGTTTTTTTTTAGCGGAAAATACAAACTTCTGGATAGAAGAAATACACTTCATTACTAGAAACGTGTTTTTATAAATTTTCAATGAGAACGGGATCTATAATGGGTGAGACGACGAAAGTTGATCAATTTTTCTCATATTTGTTCGTGAGAACACAGTTTCTGCGCTAGCAATGAATGCCTTGTAGAATATTTCTAAGATAAAACTCATTCCGTACCAAAGAAGTTGAATGAAACAAGATCGATTTGAAAATGATTTTGTTTCTTCGTTTTGTGTCAAATTGTAGGTGGCTCGGTGTAATGCGCAGTCGATGGCATGTACGGCGGTGCACTGTTATGCCTTTTTGCGCCTTTGTAGTGTTTTTTTCTCTAATTATATGCAGTGAGAAGCTTCAGTCTCGATTCGTTTCTAATTACTAACACTCGATGTTGGTGCTGTCCGTTGACGTTGTTCAACCATCACAACCCAATTAGAGGATCCAGTAGACATTTTTATCAATTCACTTTCGATATCAATGGATCAGTGTCTTCTTTAAGTTATTCGTAAGAATAACATTTGTTCTTGAGAAGTTATGGGATTTATTTTTTATGAGAAATACTCTTTTTATTAGGATTTTCACATATGTAGTACAATAGAGCCTTTCCGAAGAACCTTATCATTTAGCATACTATATAAATCAACTTTTGAGAACCTATGAAATTTGATTTGTGTCTTCCGCATAAATTTACACGTGCCAACAATAATTACAGCAAATAACTCTAGTCTTGGTAACACATTGTTTGTTTTTTAAACATATCTGCTTATTCATATAAAAAATGACAGACTGGGTATATAATACAAAAATAAAATAAATAACATATATTACCGCTATACATTTCAATTATACTTTGTTTGCTTCTATCGTAACAAAATCTTACGTAATAGTTACTGTTTACTATTATGATTCACAACGTATATGTTTATTTTACTAATTTCAACCGTTCACATATGTATTGCTTAACAACAATTCCATTTTCATTTATCTGAAAACATTTGGAGGCCATGACACCAAAAAACCACAGGAAAATTTTTCTCTTACCGTCTTTCATTATATTTCTTTTAATAGAACTCTATCAAGAAATATAATGGTATTTCCTTTTCAAGTACAAACAAATAGTGGAAAGATTCCCAATTTAATAAAACAATAATATTATCTTACTTATATTTGTATGTTTGTTTCTCGTTTCATAATCTTTTTACTACACATATAATTGACACAGACAGTCGACATAGTGTCTGAAGGATATCTACATGCAATTGCACAATACCCTCAACAATTGATTACAATGCATGCATACACGATTGGAGAATTATAACCTTTTCTTTTACCAGTAAACGAAAAGAACCAACGAACGAAAAAAAAACATAACATATATAAAATCTATGTGCAACTAATAAAAACTCATTTGTCAATTATAAATATTTTGATTTCATTTTTTTTCAATGTAGTTTAATATTTATTGAACGAGAATAGAGTTTTCTGCAAAAATAATGACATCGATCACGAAAAAAGTATGTATACCAGTTATAATAACATAAGAGAGATGAGTACTAACAGTAAAAAAAGTCATCACTCATCCACCTTTGTGATGTCACTGATAAACCTATTTCTTAAAATAAACACACAGTACTGAATATTGCGTAGAATGGATAAAACAGTGTACTCTCTCAGAGTACCAGCTAAGAGAAGTTGTAAAGTAAGAAAGTCTAAATTATATTAAAGTCCTTTTAAACGTTTGATATTGCAAAAAAAACACGGTTATATTTCAGTATTAAATATTATTTAAGTACGCTTACTTTACATTTGTATTCTGTGATGTTAAATAGAGATAAACTGTGTAAATATATTAATACTCACTTGTTTTATAAATTCAAAACATACACATATATTTCACTTTAATTTTAGAAAATTCTATAACTTTTGAGAAAAAAATACCATCTAGAGTTGGAATAAACAATAGATTGTAGTACAGCACGCCTTTTTCAGATAAACATCTTACTGACGAGATATCATTAGATAATTGATCATAAAAAAGGTTGGGACTATCTAGGGAAGAGGCCATATTGAAGAGAATCTATTTGTATCTCAATGTGTGTCAGTCCCAGATTTCCACATTCTTAGATTTAGACTCCTTACTTTAAAACTTCTTTTAACTAACAGCATTAGAGGACACGTTATATGCTCTGAGAAGGATGTGCAGCTTCACATGATTCAAATAAAGTTGAAGAAGAAGTGAAAGACGAAAAAAGTAACGAATACACTGACGGAATAAATCCACCAAATATCTGACACGCGAGATCAGCTGAAGTTATTTGAGATAACTTGTTGATTTAAAAATCTTTTTATAGTTTCGCTTTTTAAGCATACATTTTGAATGAACACCCACGAACATCCACGAACACAAAGAAGAAAGGGTAAGAACACCCAAAAAAGTGTAGCAAATTCATCTCCAGGTTATTCTGGGCTGAGGGTGAGATGTGGCCGAGCCGACCAGTACCTCACTCCCACCGCCACACCCACACCTACACCCACACCACACCACACCCTCAGCCCAGAATAACCTGAAGATGAATTTGGCGCACTTTTTTGGGTATTCTTACCCTTTCTTCTTTGTGTTCGTGGGTGTTCGTAGATGTTCGTGGTCTTCATTCAAAATGTATGCTTAAAAAGCAAAACTACAAAAAAATTTTGGGGTGATCGTTAGGAATTGCTATACTCAGCTCGACGAGCTCTATCGATTGGCTAACTCAGATTTTGATTTGGGGGCGTTCTTGGGTGTTCGCGTCTTTTAGCAATACCCAAGAAGAACATGTGACATCCGGCATTGAAGCGGAGAAATCCATTATCTCAGTATCGGGAGTTACTGTATTTAATATACGCGAAAAGCAACAAATGCATCGGTTAATATCATGAAGGAGTCAGAGAAAAATAAAATAAAAACGAGGAAAAAACAGTAATCATATTTCCATGAACCCCTCCCATTACCACTACATGACTCTTGGAGGTCCGAAGACAATGGGTTATCATATTTCTAGATAACTTATTGCATAAGATAAAAACCAAAAATAAAAAATAAAAAAGGTTTATAAACAGTAATTAAACATGTTTGAAGAAAACTATACTGCTATACCAATATTTCTGTATTCTTTAACATGAAAAAAATTAGATTTCTACTATGCACATGCATATGGATGTAGGCTTCGAAATTTTGTCACAGAACAGATATTAACTGCTATTGAAACATCACTTCTAATCAGCGAATTCTGTTATAATAATCTTTTTACTTTTAGTTCAGACGACACAGTCACGATTTATTAAATTCGTCAGACTCTCTGTCACCTTTACTTTCATCAATATTCGATATTTTTACATTGAACTCAATCAATCTTAACTACCTCAAATGTCAAATATGTCAAGATACATTGACTGAACCAACTCAATTGCCATGCAAACACACATTCTGCATGAAATGCATAAAAAATCAATTAATAAAAAAATCCAGTTCATGGACTATAAATATGTGCTCACGTTTTTCATCAGTATCATCATTAACACATTATCAATCAAATTCACCTTCACCATCGTATATCACATGTATAACATGTTCTAAGTCACATAAAATTCAATCTGTCGAAAATTTAGAAAGAAACTCATCTTTAACGTTACTGTTAAATACTCTATGTTGTGATGTATGTCATCAAATTAATGAATTTCAAAAATTGGACACATGTTTACATTGTTACGGAGTATTATGTCCCCAATGTTATGAAAAACATCAAATATCCGATTTTCATGCTCTCACACCAAAAAGAAAAGTGACATTGGAAATAACCGCCAGCGAAAAACCTCCAATCGTTTATCAGCTAACATCATCGGATAACGTTCGACAACTCAAACAACTACGAAAAAGGTCCAGCGAATCAGTAGAAGAAAACGATGATATTAACCAGAAAATTTTAACAGAAAAAATAATAAACATTCAACAAATTATATCTAAAAAGGTATACAACTAAGCTTCTTCCAAGTGTGGTAATCCAAGAAAGCTGTTTAATTTCTAGTTTTGTCTATTCTGACAGCATAGGTTAATGATTATGTTGTTCGTCACGTACTTCAAAAGTACTGTGTTCGAATGTCAGCATCATGAAATAGTGCAATAACTTTGGGTACATTGAACATGTCGTAGGATCTTGGATCACTCTTCCAATAGCATAATTGTTATAAAGTACAAGATAGTTCCGCTGATTAGTCTTTGTGTCTTTTCAGAATGAACTTGGTTAGTGAGTGTATATGAGTAGCTTAAGAAAGTGGGCAAAAGAATTCTGCATCAAGCTAGCTTGTCGGTCAGACCTATAGTTAATGACTAGTAATGATATGTGTGACCATGTCAGAAGTTTATCAACTGTAAGAAAGGTATTAGATTGTTGAAACTGATACTAGTGAGCATCGTCCTATTTTGAGTACAAAAAAACTTAACAACTTTAAAGACGTCTTTAGTCTTTCTATTTTAGACTTTACTACTCTCAACTACTACTAGTCCAAAAGATAATCAATCTTCTGGTGTTTCAAATGATGAAAATGATAATCAATCTACTGCTAAGATTCGGTTGAAAAAGCCTTTATTAAAATTTATTCAACGTGTACGCCATAGCTCATCATCGTCATTAACTAATTTAAACATTAGTCCTCTATTGTCACGAAAATCGAATAGAGTATCGTCAATTAAAAATGATTGTAACAATGCAGAACTATCAAAAATAACTGTTCAAGATTCTTTTATCGAGTCACAGGAAAATGTAACATTAAAAATTTCTCCTACTAATTCAGTTAGAAAATTTTTAGATTTGAATGATCATTATAAATTAACATGCGAACATGTTGAAAGATGTAAACAACGAGTACAAGAATTAAATTTATGTACACAAAAACTTATCCAAATTTATAAACAGAAAATTGATGAAAATCAAGCAAACATTGATTTTTATTGGAATTTATTGAAACAAACGATTTTAGCTCAAATAAAGCATCAGTCATATACAACATCAACTAAAGAATTACTAAAATATTTAATATGTTGTTACTATTATGAACCAAACGTTACTAATCTCCCATCATCTCATGAAATTACTCATAAACAACAGTTATTAGAAATCTACTTGGAGAATAACGATGAGATAAATGCTGCATTACAAGTATTTTACAGTAATTTAATTATTCTTATAAATCAAACTTTATCTGAAACGTCTGTTGATTTAATGGATACATATTATTTAACTAGTCAACTATTTGAACGAGAAGAAAAAACCGCATTAAAATCCATAAGAAAAGAATTAGAACAAGGTTTAGAATTATATATTGAAGAATTATCAAGAATTGAAACACAAGTAAAAACAGAACGTGAATATTTTTTAAAATGGAAAAATTCAAATATTATAGAATTAGAACAGATAAAAGAGCAATGGTCAACTCTCGTTGATGTAACTTATCCAAAGTTAATAGAAAAAATTTCAACTGATTTTATTCAGATAAAACCGGCAAATAAAATTATTGCAACAATGTTAAAACATATAAAACAAAGAATACAACAAAAAATACAACAACTACAAGAAGAAACATTTTCAAGTAATCTCGAGTGTTAAAGAGAGATTAAGAAAAAAATAGTTTATATTTTTTTCTAAAAAATTAATTTTTAAAAATAAAATTAATATGTGCTTCTTAGAAATGCTTTGAAAACTGTATATCTTTCAACATATAACTAAGAGTTGTTGAAAAACTATTGAACAACGTTCAAAAAAGAAAATATTGTCCATTGTAAAGACTGAACTAAACTTTACTACTAAACTTTACATGAACTAAACTTTACTTATTCGGGTTTCTTTTTAATTAACCGGTGAATACATTTCGAAATGAATAGTAGTATAATAAACAAAAAAGCTTTCAAGTTGAAGATCTTTGGATGAATGCTAGTGACACACACTTTTTAGCACTGGAATCAAACGACTTCAAAAGAACGATAAAGGAGAGTTTGCTTATGGACTTAGTGGAGAAGAAAACGGGGAAGAATGTCTACTCTCAAAAAAGCTTTCAGTTGAAGATCTTTGGATGAATGCTAGTGACACATACTTTTAGTTTGAAATTTAAATTTCTTGGTAGAACGTTCTACACATGGTTTTATTTTTCTTTTGCGTTCTGTGTTTTTGTTCTATTTAAGTGTACGTCAAACTGTACAGCTTTCTTGTATTATTTCTGACTGAGGATGTACTAAGATATTGTACGAAACGTCTCGTAATACATAGTTATGCATTCGGTGTTTATTATACTACTATTCATAAACTTTACTTTTTTTCCGAACATATCCGACATTTAGACAACACTATTCTTAGAGTTAAAAATAAAACTATATACATACTTTTCTAAATAAATCGTTTTCTATGTCCGTTTTAATATTAACTAATTCACTTAAACGCTAAAATGAGAGAAAATCAAGATAAAGAAGCCATTGGTTACTATAGTAAGTTTCTTACTTCTAATGCATTTATTTTTTCAGCTTTAATCAGATCAATTTCTTTTAATTTGCTTTCATTTTGTTTTTGTAATTGATTTGCCATTTGAATACTATAATCCATCATTTCACATATTATCTAAATAATGACATTACGGTTAAGTAATGGATGTCAACTTTGTTAATGGAATTGAGTACTTGACGTAAAGACGAGGTAAAAATGAAACATGAATCAAAAACTGCGAGTAGCTTTGAATACTATTTGTACAAAAAAAGGGAAATATGTTTATGGATAATTGCTCTTCTTTTTCAAAAAATTTTCAATATTCAGTTGAACATGGCCTAATGTAGGGAAAAGTTAAGACATAAGACAACTCCTAGCGTTCTATCACTCTTTTTGAAAAAGTTATAAGATTTAGTTAAAAGTTTTGACTTAAGACGCTGAAAAAACTCAATTTTGTAAATTTTTCGTTCCTTGTCGATGGCTTCCAGATTTTTTTTACCATCTAATAGAGCAAAGTGTTATCTTCATAATAAAATCTCTTTTGGAATTTTCTAATGGCTTTTGGTGGATGTATATGCATGACTACAACTGTCGTGAAAGAAGTGATCCATCTACCGTTAAATGTAGAAAAATACCTCTAATGTCCGATCGAATGAATTTTCCGAGAAGTTGTCACGTATCTCAACTTTTCAAAAAAATTCATAAAAGAACATGTTATAAAAGTCTACCCCAAAACATATCCGTTTTCTTTTTCGGTGTTTACTCCATGATAAAAATTTCGATCCAATTAGACTTTTACCTTTGAGAACAATGTACGAAAAGGGACGAGTACCTAGACTAAAATGCAACGATATCTGAAAATAGAATATTCTGACTCTCAGATATCAATTTGAATCACCACATACACACATCACGATAAGATCACTAGTAATATCTAATTCGACTGTCAAAGTAGTTTCGATGTTCTATCCACCATATATCACGATAAAAATATATCACTTACATTCTTCGAATCAGAACTTTCAATTAAATCCATTTGTCCAATAACGATATATGTGTTATCACCCGCGTGCTCTTTCCACGTAAACTGATAACAAAAAGAAACAGAAGGCATAAATTATATTATAAGTATTTTGTGTAACTAGTTTAAAAAAGCCTAACTTACTATCAAGACATTTTGTTTGTTTTTTACTTGTTTGGTACAATTATACGTGTATGTATTCGATGGTATTAATCCGTTGTTGAAGGCATTTTTTGTGTGTAGATAAAAATCATCACATCCATCTATTAATTGTTGAACATAGTCATGTTTTACTAGAAAAATATTTGATATCCAGTTGAAATAACGAAAATATAAAATTTTCTCTATTGTTTTTTACCCGATCCAACCCATGTATGTGTAATATTTGTCAATATAAGATCGATTTTTGACAACTTTTGATCAATTGACGCTTTTATATAATATTCAGATTTATCTTCGGATCTTATTTTGGAGAAGTATATTTCATCAAGATGATCCATTCTACACACTTTGATCTAAAAAACACTAGAGAAAAAAATTAATCGGTAACAAGAGATTTCTTACACCTATTATTTTAAAGCATCCTCTTATCATAACATCTAGTACTCAACTTCATGGTTTGGTAACAATATAAATCACTTTATGCAGCAAATAAGAGTTTTGAGAGTAAAAAATACCTAGACATCGAGTCTCGTGATTAATACCAAATAACAGAACTATCTATAAGAAAGTAACCGAAATTGTATAACCAACGATAAACGTTCTCAAGAAAGCCACGTTGGTTATTCAAATTAGATATGATAAACTTAGGAATCAGATCAATTGAAATTTCGCATGCATCTCTTTAAAAAAAACACAATAATGTTTGTAGTAAAGAGAGAAGAAAATAAACATAATTCTTTGATTCAAACACAACAAGAGTGGTGACAGATACTCTTTATTTGCTTGATTTGTCCTCTCAGAAAAACCTGCGCTCAACGGGACAAACGTTGTCTCTTGTTGGGAGTCTCAAGAAATTCTCAATAGATATGTAGAAAGGTTGTGCAATGAGCAAACTACAACGTAAAAAAATAGAAAAGAAAACGTTCATATACACACACGTTGAATATGGGTTTACCTATTATCCAAAACAAAAGTCTGCTGAAGCAATATTTTCATATATGTCAGACAGATAGTTAAAATTCGCTGTTAAATGAGTTTATTGTAGTTGAGCTCAAAATTCGACTTAACGGTAAAATGGTATGTATAGACTTTTATTTACATATTCTATCGATATTTACAATATTCTCAAGCAAAATAACACGTATACGGTTATAATTAGTAAGTTATACTGAACAATTTTTTCTATAACATTTTGTTTGTTCTGCTAATGATGAATACTCGACACTAGAGATGTGCAACCCGACCCGAAGTTTGGGTACGGGCACGAAGTTGTCAGGTACGGATTTTATGTTTTTTTCATTTACTCGAAAACCGGAAGATTCTAGTGGAAAATCCACAAAATTTTAGTGAAAAAATACATGAAGATTTAAAAAAGGCTTACTTAAGAACGTAATGATAATTTGACATCTTCAGCCGAAAAACAATAGTTTTTAGCTGACAAACAAAAAGGAGAAAATTTTTAGGCATAAGTCGGATACGGGTACAAAGTTGTCGGGTCGTGTCGGGTACGGGTGGAGAAAAAATTTTCGAGCCGGGTACGGATACGAAAATAGTACCCGTGCGCATCTCTACTCGACACTGTTGTTAAACAAACAAAAGTGACAGAAAACTTTCCCTCACAGTTAAAAGTTACCGTTTAGACGGCTGTGGCTAAACTTACAGTTAATAAAATGTTCAAAAAAAAGAAGTAGAATAAGTGCTTAAAAGTAATATTTGCTATTTTGGACATGTCCTTGCTCTTATTAAGAACTTCTGCGATAAATAATATCAAGCTAGGATAGAATGTTAGGATAGAATGGATTTGATAGAAGTTTGAAAAAAAATTTGGTTAGCGAAAAACCATGAAAAACGGTTTGTCTGAGAACCTTTGTCACGCGATAAATATAACAGTGTTGCAGAGGTGAGCGGAGCGCGAGGCTCATCAGGCGAGGGGAGACGAAAAATATTTTTTTAAAGGATTATGAGGGACGAGGCGAAGCATTTCTACTTATCTGCAAAAAATTAATGTTTTATTTTGCTAATCTGTTGTCAAATATTGCAAACCAGTAGGAGTACAGATATGAATTTTACTAGTCAAAATTTTCATCCAATATCCGATTCAATATTTTTTTCCGTTCTGCATATTGAACACATTCTCTTTCTATAGCATTTAACTATACATGGGCAGGACCAGAACCGAGGCTACAACTTTTTTTTCCGGGACCAACACTAGAGCTAAGATGTGTTTCGACAGTTGCATAAAATCAGCTAAAACTTGACCTGTTCTCTATATTAAAATAGAAACGTTGTGGAAAATCGTCAAGAAGTCTTACAATTCTTTCCTAGGCATTGAACTTCACATTTGGGTCATGCAAACTTTATTAATAAAGTGTTTTCTCCAGCATCATGAAAACTTTCCGGGACCGGGACTGGAAAACCTTGGTCTCGCCCGTGTCTACATTTAACTGTTTTGAAGAAGTTTAAACAAAGAAAGAGATTAAAATTTTAATTTTTCTTTCGTTCTTGAACTATGGCATCAAACGACTCTACTTTTTCTTCCTCCAAAAAAATATTTATATTTTTTTATGAATAAACCATTGTTTCGCGTGGTGTACACCGTTTTTCATGAATTACGATCCGTGAAAATTTTTTTTTACGGGGCGAGGCAGACACAAGGAGAAAATCCGCGAGGCGAGTCTCATGAGGCAAAATTTTTGAAAGTTTCAAGGACGAGCCGGAGGCGAGGTGAAACTTTGCGGGGCGAGGCGAGATGATGTTGGAAAAACCGAGCTCCATGCATCTCCACAGTGCTGGGGTTAAAGTGTAGCAGTAAAATTTTTCTATGACATTGCCAGATATTTATACGTATCATGACTTTTTTGGGACATAGCACTATTTTTCTCGCCGTCCGCGCTCGATAGAGGAAATCTGACTTTAGCTTCTGATGTAACGGGCAAGGGATGCTGTTGCT